CATCTCCGTGCGCTCGTGCACGTGCATGTGACTGCCCCAAAATAGATACCCTCTCCTGTGCACAGCGTTGCATATCAGTCTGCCTGGCACACTTTGAGTTAATGCTTGAAATTTGAGGCACGTACGGTTCAGAAAGCTGCAAGGAAAAAAAAAAGAAAACAGGCGGCAGTCTGGCAGCTGCTAAGTCTGTTCTCCATACATTTTGTGTGTGAGAGTGTATATGAATGTGTAAATGTGTATATGTATGTCTCTGCTTCCTTCAAAGTGTGTGTGTGTGTGTGTGTGTGTTGCCTCCAGTGCTGCTGTGTGAAACAGAAACACTGGAGACAACAGAAAATAACATAATCCAACTATTAGGTTCCCTAAGACATAGATGTGTACTGTACACACCTCACAAGGACATGACTCATGGGAAATTATATGAATTTTCACTCGCCTTTCTTAATATTTACTGCTGATACACAAGCAATCATACGCTGTGTTCCCTCCACAGCTACAAACGCGGCGTAGAGTGAAAGATGTGTAATCCAATTTCCTTTGTGTATTATTGTTATTATTGGTAGATATCAAAATGCATCACAAACATATTATAAATCATCACGCTGTTTCGTACTCAAGAACAGCTCCATTTCCATATGAACTTCGATGCAAGGCGGGACCCGGAGACAACGAGCGCCGTGCGCGCTGGAAACAGGGACGCATCAGCAGTATTAGCACAGAGAATTATTTACAGTTTTTCTCACACTTCAGCGCCTTATTTCAATTAGCCTGCGCTCAGTGTCGAGCGGCTCTAAAGCCGATGGGTTGTTCGTTGGTCCCCTTCCCAAAAGCCTATCACGGGTCGCTATTGATGGCAGAAACAGGCCTGGATCTGTTTTGTGGTTTCATGGGCTCGTTAACTTTTTCCCCTTTCATGGGCGTGTGATTACCACAAGCCTTTCACTGTAGCACAAAAAGGTTGTTTTTTCCCCTCTCTCAAAAATGGTACAGTAGGTACAAGCGGTACAGTAAATCTCTTAAGCAGCTTCACTTCCCATCATGTGATTATTCCATGACAAAGCAGGGGATAGAGGAGGTGATAAGTGACATCCAATAATTATTTTAGCTTTTAATGTGGCAAATTAGCTGAAACGAATGCTAAACCACTTTCCCTTCCCTCACAAGATAAACAGCACCTGATAATGTGTATGAAACATTACCCTGATGAACAACCATGCGGTGCCTACTGAAAGTGAAGCCATTAAACATAATATAAAAGACACACACGCTGTCGGTTTTCATTTGTCACCTCGCCGTGAATACAGAGTCCTGGTAAAGTCTCATCTGGCCTGTGTGTGTGTGTGTGTGTGTGTGTGTGTG